AAAGATGGAGCTTTGAATAACAAAAAAAAAATTCTGCAATTGTAGGAATATAGTTTGTACAATGTGATTGATTGTTTTGCGATTAGAAAAATATTAATTTATTTATTTTGCAATTAAGTGACTTATTTATTCAATTGAATTATAATTATTCACCATATCAGGATAGAGCATAAAAATCACATATACATATACATGATTACCTTTTGATATTTGTTTCATTGACAGACTGATTGTTTGCTTGATTTTGCAGTTTAGTGATTAGTTTATTTTGTAGAAAATGATTTATTAAATTTAGTGATTTGTTTATTGTGCGACAAAATAATGTTTATATTCACTCAGCAATTTCAATGACTTATTTATTTTATTTTGATATTTAGTAATTGAACTATAATGTTGCGCCACTTCACGATAAAATATATGTATATGATAAATTTATGATAATCCGCACGTCATTACAGTATTATTTCTTATTCCGGGTCTAGGACTCGACTAGCTCAAATGAGCTATTTCCATGACCCACACCAGAATCCTTTGCAGTGGTAAAAAGGAAAAATTAATTGTGTTATGTATATTTTCTTTTTCTGGTGTAAATAAATAAATACAAATACAAATACAAATACAAACAAATTATGCAAATATGCATTGTATATTTACAATATAATTTTAATAAAATAAATATCCAAGTATATACCTGTGTAATAATTCCCAATGTCATAATCACAACCATCATACAGAATGCCCCAAAAAGAAGAAAACGTCTTCTTCCAACTTTATCCACACTCAACAAACATACAATAGTAGACAGCGCCTTTAATTAAAACACATTAACATATTAATTAATCTTTTCACCACCAGAGTATTCTCACACAAATTTTTCAGCACTTTTTTCTTATATTCTTCAATAATTCTGAAAAAATTAACCCTAATTTTGGAGCCAACAGACAAAATTGTGTCCATTTTCAGTAATTTTTTGCTGACAAGTAAAATCTACAAAATTAGGTCCATGTAAAATGTAAAATAACAACACTAGGCAGAACTTTCTGTTTCTCTGCCAAGTTCATGAATTCAAAATCCTGTGAAATTGCTCAAAACATTAAAAATATAGCATTTATATTTAATAGATATCATAATATTAATAATTAACATAATCTACAGAATGGTCACATGACCATACCTTGACACCTCCGAGTCCGATGGTGGCTAAGGTAGCAACTGAATCAGTTTTAAAACCAACCAATTGAAAAACAGTTGGTGCATAGTATAAAACATTTGTCTGTCCAGTCACCTGTAATAATAGAAACATGTAGTAAATGTTAATGATATGATTCTTTTGTTTTTAACTACTGTATTTGTTCTATTAGTAGTGTATGTGTTAATGTAAATGAGGCTGTGGTCAAAATAAGTCATGTTTTATTGACGGGAGTAAACAGTAATTGTATTTATTGGTTTACATGTACATTAGTGTATGTACCAAGATCATTACATGATTAAAACTGGTTACCGTATTCAACCACGTTAGCGCTCATGGTCCTTAACTCAGAAAATCATGTCTTTGAGGTAAAATAAAATTATGAAATTAGTTTGGCAGTTCAAAATACTTTTACGAGGATGAGCTGTTTGGATAAATGCGCTCATTTACGAGCGTTATGACAAGAACCAGACACGCCATCGACTATGTACTGACATTTCATACTGTGTCAGTACATACTTTTCGTTTGCCATTTATAATATATAGAAATTTATACGTCTAAATGAAATAAATTGAAAGGCAATCACATCGCGATCTTCTATTTATATATGCAATGTGTCCGAGTCCCGTTGAGGTTGGCGTAATGATTTCCAGGCACGTATATTATTCCAGTCAACAACTTAGATTGCAATTTTGATGTTTGGATATTCAGAACAAATTCAAATTAGAAGCATATGAATCATTGAGGAAACATGAAAGCATAGTTGTACTGAATCTAAGTACTTTTTCATTACCCTGTACATATTGTTATATATTCTGAAATATCGACTATTCAATGCCTGAAATCTTACCTGTTGGAAAAAAACCAAGCCAACACCAATGAAGAGCCTTCCTCTCATGTTATCAACACTTCGAAATAAATCACAGACTGAATAATCCTGAAAAAACATGAAAAGCTTCAAAACAGATTTCTTCTAAAAGTGAATTATGATAGAGCTTATACGTTGAACATACTTGGATAGGTATAGTAAAGTGGCCCCCCTAGTTGACTTCATATGATCACTCAAAGTTGATTTGTGATCTGACATGGTATTAAAATGTAAAGACAAGGGATTCTTTAGAAGTGAATACCCAACGAAACCAAGCACCCCCAATTTATTATCGATATTTGAATAATTTAGATCGGATTTTGCTGTTTTGTTTTGTTGGTAGTACTGTGAAACATGTCTTTTTCGCAAGCATTTCTTTTTAGCAAATTTAGTGAGAGAACTAATTCGCTATAAATTTAAGATGTCGCTAATGACTTCATTATAAATTCAAAATGGCAGCCAAACAACGTCTTTTTCTTTGTAAACAACACAGAAAACATAATAATCTGGAGCGCTTCCCTATTAAACTTGGCAATTTTTCTTTGTTTTTATGGAGGTGATAACTGCGCATTTGTTTTGGCAGGCGACAGACAAGTATTGTGAAAACAGGAAATCAACAAAAACAAGAGAGATTTGCTAAATCAACATTTCGCTATGGCTACTACGTCATTTTACCACAATTCGCTAAAATAGTACGTCGCTTTTTCAACATGGTTTACAGTATGTCATTTTATGACTTTAAGTTTATGTTGAAAACTTAAAATTATTTTTTTTTTAAAGGATTTATTTGTATACAATAAGTTGTAGGATTATTATATCAATTGTGTACATTTGTTTTATCAATAATGACCCTCAGCTTATCAGTATTATACCATAACTCCCTAGCGCTATGATAATTGAATTTAACCTACATATACATTATGAATACATTGCTTGGAACCATTAAACATGCACAGGTGTGATGAGAACTATCCTACCAATACACAAAGTAAGCAAAGCAAAGTCTTACCTTTTAATTGCACATTGACATGATGATTTGTGTCAGTTTATCATCTTATGAGATTATTATTACGAGGATACCTCAAAGTATGCACAAAGACAGTACAGTGGGAGTATCGACCGACATGCAGCGGAGGTCGATGCGATGGAGTACTGTCTGAGTGCATACTTTGAGGTATTCTCGTAATAACCTTATTATTATACATCTTTTCCTTCTAAGGATACATCATGGGAATGCCGAAATCCAAAATGTTTAGAACAAAATCAGCGAACTTCTTTGCGTGGAATCCAGTCAAACTCTAGTGACAGCCATATTTGATTTTTTTTATTAGAGGACGCTTATGCGCATAATCATTCTATATTTGGGATTCGCGTTTTCTTAAGCAGAAAAGACTGTGTAAAATACCGCAAAATTATGGCACGCTGCAACTTGCGGCGTTACGGTGACAAATGTATAATAATACCTTTCAATTGCACATTGACAGTGTGATTTGTGTCAGTTCATCGTCTTACCTTTTCATTATGGATTGATGTTGTGATTTGCATCAGTTCTTCATCTACGTTGTCTGAGCCTCTGAGAACGACTAAGACATTGCGTGCCTGTAAAAATAAACATTCCATATAAATTACAATAATACCGAGTACTGTAATTTCCCTGAAAAAAGCAGGGTAGGAACTCAATAATATCATGATATAACAAAGAGATTACTTGTAATGTGCATTTGAAATGAAGACAGTTTATTAGTCAATAATCACATCCGCTGCTAAGCAGACAGACTTTTCTTGACACGATTTGGCTGAGTTGATGCAAATAAGCAACTCTTCACTGACTTGCAAATATTTCAATGAATTGTTGTGTTAAAGGGCAGTGGTCATCGCGCAGCGTGTGTTCGAATTTCATGTAAATAAACAATGTATTTTACAAGCGCTGTATACTTCGCTATGAGTCCCATATCAAACATGACACGGCACAACGACCATGTACCATCGTCCTTTAATTTTCAAGATTTGTATTTTGAAATTCTAAATGTGTGAGTTTTTATTATTCATAGAGGTACTTTCAGGTGTCCGACTTCTATTTTAAGTCAAGATTGTGGTCACTCAGGATCCAAGGAATATAGGCCTCCCAAGCAGGAATTTGATTCAACACTGCCTGATGACATGGTTTTACCCTATTCAGTTATGGAGGCCTTTTCGCAGGCACTGTGTTAACCTTTTCACGACGAGTTCCCTTTTTCCATCACAAATTCTCAAAATAGTCCAGTTCATATTCTGCACTTCTCTTAAAAAAATTTTTGAGTGAAAACTGAAAATTAACTACTGTAAAACCTGTATTAGAAACCGCGTCTTCTATTAAAATGGTACAATGCAGCAGAGGGGATGCGGCTTCTATTAGAGCATCTACACATATGAGAAGCAATGAATTCAAATTCTCAAATGTTTAAAAAGAATAGGTGCTACTTCTATTAGGAATGCGGCTTCTAATACAGATTTTACGGTATATATGGCGAGTTGTCCATAAACTTACTTCAGTATCTCGTTTCCTAATAATAAGATATCTTGGACTTGGAGGCAGAATGTACATTCCAATACCCTGTACAATAGCGGGAATCATCGATAAACCGAACATGTATCGCCACCCATTGCGTACTGTGATGAATAGAAAGTTGACGAGATATGCCAGCAACAAACCGACAGTGATCCCGAGTTCGTTTAGTGATACTAATGAACCACGTCGTTTCTAGGTACAAATCACAAAGTATAATGAATTAACAATATTTCTTGCGTAGTATATGTTCGTATTCGAGGCGACTTGATATGTATTTAACATATCCTGTGTACAGCACACATGGGACCCACACTGACCTGACGTCAATTCTGTGTCCATTTTATCATGCCCAAGTACAGAAATGATACACGAATAATAAATTCTCCAGCAGCCAATAAGGCCAACATTCATGCCTGTGCATATCTAAAAATGGTTGTTAATTGCCACTATAACATAAAGTTGTTCATTTCACTAGAAACATGTTGTTTTTAGTGGGTTTATTTGGCTTAGGGTGAGCCCAGTGTGAGGTTTCTTTTCATGCAAACACGTCATAATATGTAAACATATTATGTGTTAAATTAAAATGGTAGACAGTTTTCCATGTGTGTGGCTCATAAATCATAAAAGTGACAGTATCTTTGGAAGAAACTACTGAATATAAAAATACCAACGAATCGCAAAAAGTTTGACTAAATAAACAAACAATATGGTGAACATTTGAGATGTTATTGAGAACTTTAGCAAGGATAATCTTGCAGTCTAAGTCTATAACTGTATAAGATATGTGTTCTAACTATAATAATAGTAGTATAAATGTTAATATACAGATTTGAAAAACAAAACAAAACAAAACAGAAGCAATGCTAAATTGTTTGTGTTTCTGCCAAAAATGACCACGCCCACTTTTGCGAAACCATGCAATAGACCATTTTCCGTACACTGCGAGAATCACGCGTTATGCGTGAAATCGAACGTAAAAACAGGACAAACAAAGGTCATAGCGTCGTAGTGGCGTCAAACATCGCGTGGGATTCGACAAACGCGAAAGTATTTTGGGGACATTTCCATGCTTAATAATGTGCTGTCCACATTTGATGATAGGCAATTTCGATTAAGTATGGGTATTCGGAAGCAATATTCCTCTGTCGAAGATCGGCCGGTCGATGTGAGCTACGAAATAAAGAAATTCGAGTTCAAAATCAAATCGTTTGATTTTTGCGGCAGATGTTCGACGCGCGTCTTTCATGCATCTCGCGAGATCTCGCAATTGTACGGAAAATCACCTATTGGAACTAAAAGTTTAATTACCAATTACCAGTTGGAATACTTGATTTTCGCTTGGAATTAATTTTAATAAAATAAAATTCAGCGGATATACCTTCTTTCCTGTATTTTACATTCAACTCGTCAAAAATCAGTGAAAATAAATTCCATACAGAACACATAAAAAGTCTATTCGGCGAAAATTAATTCCAGCTAAAATAAAGTAACCAAATTTTGAGTTACGGGCAATATACATATTTCTTATTGTTGAACGTCCACATTTAGTAACTCAAACTTTAAGTAACAGTTAACTGGACTTTGAGTCACGGGGCAACATACAACAGGCATGGTTTCTAAAATATGGGTATGGCCATTTTTGTAGCTCAATGTTTTTGTTACTCGATGTCCATAACCCGAATAATACAACATCTCCAATGAGGTCACTCACAGTTGATGTTCACTTTGCCTCGGTCAACAGCGCTCTATTCAGGTCAACAAATCTGTATATCAACCATCACCAGGGTCAACATTTGTATACAATGGACTGAACGTTGACTTTTATACCAAGATAATGTGTTAGAAGATACTGTAAAATACTTTATTTTCACTTGCAATTAATTTTCGTTGATTGAGTGAAAATAAAATCCAGAGAATATATTTTTTTTCTCTATATTTTACATTTAACTCATCAAAAATCAGTGAAAATAAATTCCATGCAAAACACCTAAAATGTCTTTTCAGCAAAAATAAAGTATTTTACAGTATTAAGAAAAATGTTCTTCTTGCATAGCAGGTATTTAAACCTATGTTATTTGCGTGAATGTAAAGGCATGTAATATTGATATGACAATGCAAAAGTGATATTATCTAAATCACGGTTGCAATAAATAACAAACTTTGCAGCACTTTGTGTGTATTGGCAATGAATCAATCATTCAACGAATCAATACACGTCATGTACTTACAGCGGGAGATATCTCCGATATGTAAATACACTCTCCAATCACAGATAGCGACACAGCAAATCCGATAATCAGTCGTCCAGCTACCTGCAACCAATCAAATTACTCCATGTTTATATAAACCGCTTTTGATTTTGCAATACAAACATATTTCGTGAGTCGGTGACAATTGATGGAATTTTGTAGCCGTCACAATTTCTGGGAAGTTCTACAACATTAAGTGTCATTGAATTTTGAAAAGTTTTGGTTTCACTGTAATGCCATATTAAAATCATCAAATTACGAGAAAATTCCTAGCAACGAAAAAACAAATATTACTGTAAAATCTGTATTAGAAGCCGCGGCTTCTATTAGAATAATACAATGCAACAGAGGGGATGCGGCTTCTATTAGAGCAACTACACTTATGAGAAATGATGAATTTTTGATTCTCAATTATTCATAAAGAAATGGTGCGACTTCTATTAGAGATGCGGCTTCTAATATAGATTTTACGGTAAACAGATTACAGTATATTTCATATTTTTTGTTGTCAAGGTATTTCTGGTCAATCAAGAGAAGTCTGTACGTTAAATATTTTCTTCTTGATATTTTGATTAGGGGGGGGGGGGGTATATGACAGGTATTGAATCACAGTACACTAATTACTTTAAGCCTGGATAGATAACTTACCAGAGTGGTAAAGGTATTCGCCACTAACAGTATAATAGCTCCAATTACAAATATGACATCGTTGAATATAATAGCCCATCTACGACCAATTGCATCTATTATGAAACCTGAAAATATAAGATATTTGTGAGAATGGAATAAATAGAATAGAATAGAATAGAATAGAATAGAATAGAATAGAATAGAATAGAATAGAATAGAATAGAATAGAATAGAATAGAATAGAATAGAATAGAATAGAATAGAATGGAGCTGAGCAGAGCTGAGCAGAGCAGAGACCACAATAGAATAGAATAGAATAGAATAGAATAGAATAGAATAGAATAGAATAGAATAGAATAGAATAGAATAGAATAGAATAGAATAGAATAGAATAGAATAGAATAGAATAGAATAGAATAGAATAGAATAGAATAGAAGTCAATGCCATAAAATGTCTGGGTAATATCAGGAATCTCAGTACAAAAGCCATTGTATATCTCACCTCCCACAAGTGATCCTATCAGGGCGCCGAGTAACAAAGCACTCACAACCACTTCTTGTTGAAAACAGTCCAAATGAAAAACCTCTCTCAATTGAAGTAAAGCGCCTGATATTATACCTACAAAAAGAATGTTCAGGATAATGCAATGGAAATATACATTAAAAAGGTGCAAGCAAATCTACACAATCTGAAAAATACCACCTCAGAAAGCTTTTTGATAAAATATTAAAGCAAGATTATAAGTATAAAGATACAGCCAAAAAATGAACAAGTCTTAATGACACATACGCACCAAATTAGAAAGTAATCTGATTCCCAAAGAAAAAGGTAAAAGTTTTTGTTTTTTTTTATAATGTTTTTGTGCCAGGCGACAGTTCTGGACATTGAGTGTCACTCTTGTCTCTTCTTGTATATGCAAATTGCAAGTGCTAGTGCTGACACATAGTACATTTTTTCCACAAGTTATATTCATGGTTGGGACTACATGACAGGGCTGTGGGGCCATCTCTCTGTCAAATGGCAATTTTAATGTGCTATCCTATCATTCGTTAGAGAATGAATCTCGACCAGTGGAGTTGGCCTTCCCATTGAGTCTGTGGCACACTCACCCGGGGTAGGGGTCGACCCTTTGATGTTCAGCCTAAGGTAGGATTTGAACTTGGGTCTACCGGTCATGAGTCTGACTAAATTTGAAGTTTTGGCAGTAAAAAATACCTGTCATGAAAAGAACATATCTGAATGAGGAGGGACATACTGTCACATTTATTTTCTTGGTTTTACAGAATTATAATAATCAGAATTTATAATGCTGACATACCAATATCGTATCCAAAAAGAATACCACCAAAGGCAGCCATAACTGAAGCCAAAACCAGATACGCGGTAACCCTATTCTGTTGCTGATGCGACTGGACCAATTCCAGCGGTTCAAGTGATTTGTTATCCAAGTCATCTTCCATGTCCTCGTCGTTCTGTGACAATAACAATACTATAAAAAAAAAAAAGTACCTGTATTACGGTATGTAAATAATACAAAATTACCAGCAACATTTACATTACAATTATATACCTGCATTTCATAAATAATTTTTCTACGATTAAAAAAAAAACTAATTTTTACTATTACCCACAAAAATAATGTACAAATACAAAAAAGTACATTACACCGTTTTAATGTAGATTCTGAAATGCGACCCAAAAGCAAACATGACAGGCCTTGCCCTTAGAAAATGGCTGGTGAGTGAAAAATAGCTTTCCCAAAAGCACTGAGGTGAATTATACGGATAATTCTTATGTATGCAGAAATTATTTTGCATGTGTTTAACTAAAAAAACAAACTAATTTTGCATGTGTTTGATAAATGTTGTATGTGTTTACAAAAAAAATAATAATTTTGCATGTGTTTAATTTAAAGGAATAATTTTGCACGTGTTTAATTTAAATAAATGTTAATTTTGCATGTGTTTACATTGTGTAATTACAAAAATAATAATTTTGCATGAGTTTAATTAAAAAGAATAATAATTTTGCATGTTTAATTTAAAAAATAATAATTTTGCATGTTTAATTTAAAAAAATAATAATTTTGCATGTGTTTAATTAAAGAAATAATAATTTTGCATGTTTAAATTGAAAAAAATAATAATTTTGCATGTGTTTCATTAAAAAAAATAATAAATTTACACAAACGAATCACTCGTGGGCGATTGTTTGCTTTGAAGGTAAAGGTCTGACATGATGAGCTACAACAAAATGTTGCTTTTTAGCAATATCTTCTCAATTTTATGTTGTTGCAAAACTACAATACCAAAGCTACTGGTTGTTAACAACAACAATTTAACTCACAGTGCTTACAAGCAGAGTGTAAATGCTACAATTCTATTCATATGCAGAGTGTAAATGCTACATATATATATGTTCTTACAATTGTCTGAAATGCAGTCTACAATTTTATTGCAGAAAAAAATAAAACACCAAAAAATCATTGTTCAACAGAACAGCTTATAGCTTAAATAACTGATATCAGAGAAAATCTACAAAACGGGGCAAAAGTGGTATCATATTTGCTCCATTAACAGATGCACTTTCATAAATAACAGGAATGTGTATTGTCAAAATGAAGTCATATTTTTAACGACCCGGTTCATGCAACAATTGTTTTACATGAGATTGAGCAAATGTTTTGTTTTTTTTGTGCTGTTTGGCTTTGGATTTTGAAGAACTGACAAATCCCTATCAGCCCCCAACCCCTCAATGAGTAAATGTCATCCAATTCAGGTAAAAATTGACTTACTTCTTCATTCATTATTCACCAACAAAAGACTAACTAGATTCAGAAATATCATGGATTATATTATTATGACCAGTACATTTAGGAGGGTTATAAATAATTTCTAAAAATACAATTCAATTTAAATGAATTGGATGAGAATTTTTATATTTTCAGATTGAGTTCATGTCAGACCGAGGTTAATAGAATTGTCTTTTCTGTAATAGTATACTAGTATTGTTTTTTATGGTTATTTCATTTTCCTAACCAATGTGACTAAAATCTTCCAACATACTGTATCGCTTGGAGAAAAAAATCGATGCACATAGGATTTTTTTGAAATATGAATACGAATGGTTTTTAATTTAATAATTGTCATAAATTTGCACATTTATTCACATTTTATATTATTTCTGAAATTGAATTTATCTTTCAATTGTTCTAAAATTCGCCCCCACCCAAAAAAAAAAAAAAAACTGTAATACACAAATTTATAACAGCTTTACGTCATCAATTTCGGAGTGAGACGGAGGTCAAAGTTGAATTACCAGTGTCTAAGTTGACGTCATCTGTTGCCTGGCGTATTCCTGTGTAACCATTTCTAGTGGACAGGTCATCACTTGGACAAATACTGATGTTTTCGTCCATTGTATTCTACGGAAGCCAGCACTGCAATGAAATTATTTGCAAGGATACTCTGTCACTGGGCAGCCTTGTTTACACTGCAAAAATATATTCCGACCAAGACGACGATATTATATATCTGAAAATGAAGAAGACGAAAAAAAAACATTTCTTTAAATGCGATACTCGACACCCAGAACGACTGGTCACAGGCAGCGTTCTCACCGAGCTCACAGTCCGGTTTGTTTGACATCTATTTAAAAAAAAAAACACGTACCGTAATTCTAACCAGCAAAGCACTGGATATTTCATCTTCAGAATCTCACGAAGTGTAAACTTATAAACACACTGCAACCAAAGGTTTTTTTATTTCTTCAATGAATTAAACCATAAATAAATCGAGTAAAATGCACACTGGAGTCGCATAACACACCTCACCGGAAGTTGAATAGCGCCACCAATTTCATTTATTAACTCGTTAACCAAAAAAGAAATGTCACATTATCTTTACGGTATTAATAAAGAATTCTATTCTATTCTATTCTATAGTGATTGTTTTGTTTACAAGTTTTAGTGGGGGGGGGGTAGTTGTTGTGTCCAGACGCCGACCTGCAACGTCAATGGGACAATGATGTTTATTTTAGTAGCTTCAAATAATTCGCCTTCTAGCGCGTATGTTCAAAAACAGCAGGTTTTTAACAAACGTAAATCAAATCTCTGCAATTTCTTATGTTCCATCATTTGCATGTAGCTAAGGTGAAAGTTGACTCCCCACCCATGACGCTCAGGTTCTAAGAATCACTTCAGGTTTCAAAAGGGTCGAGTGACTATGAATATCCAACAACTCGAACAAGACAAGATAACCCCAGTCTTCACATGATCTTATGTTCAAACTGCACATGGTGAGACTAGCGCGGCGGGTCACTTGATAGTAGATGGTCGAGTCACCAACCCAACGACGGGAACCAGCACATTCTGGTACATATCATGTAATTTCACTATTATTGAATAGTTTTGAGTGTCTGAGTTGTAAGCAGTACTTAGAACAGGAAACTAAAACCTGTAATCAAAGTATCCCGTGTTTGTAAAAACATTTACCAGTGTGAGTGTGTGGTTCTGGTATCTCACTCGCCCCGTGGGGTGGGGATGGGGCATCCCAATCGTCAGTACCGTGTGATAAACTACCAAGATGGCTGCCATCGAAACTACAGGGATGGCAGAACAGCAGCAAAATAGGTTTACTTTATTATGAATTTGCAACACTGTGAAATATTTTTCTCTAAGATTTACTAGGCGTGCATGATTTTTTTTTTCCTGTGCATTTTTTTCACCCCAGAGATTTTAATGAATAATCCACTTCTAATTAGATACATAGTATGGACTGGGATTGTTATTTACGTCCCTCAGGTATGGTTGAACCAGTAGCAAAAAATAAAATAAATTCTTACATATTATTGTCGGAATATTGCTTTTTTTTCTGTGCATTTGTTTCAAAATTTTTTACCCCAAGTTTTAAATCAATAATCCACTACAGTCGAAATCTATCAACTTTACACTACTCCTGCACCAAACAAAATTAAAGCTTGACCTGCTAAAATAAAAACTTGAAAAAGCCACGCCCACACATTATAGCTAACTAAAGTGTTGATTATTCAAAATAAAGTTTATTAAATTGAACTTGTATTTATTTGATGGCAAAGACTACCGGTATTCACACTGCAGTGGTTTAAATGTGTGTATAACAGAAATATATGTAGATCCAATATTCGTACCGCAGTATTTGGTATAAATAACAGAAATAGAGGAGCTATTAGTACTGCTAGTACAGTGTAAACAAAAGAAATAGATTCACTTGTACCGGTACACATGCAGCAGTGTAAGTTATGGTTGTATCCGCTCTGTTACATTGTAGGGGGGGGCAAGGGTTATTTTTGTTCATCGTAATTGCAATATTTTTTTGTTCGTACAATGTAGATTGAAAAAATAAATTTCGTAATTCTGTAATCACAGGCTAGACGTACAACGTAATCAATCAAATATTTTTTTCGTACACTGTAAGAATGTGTAATTTTTCTCGGTACGTACAAGAATTTACATCCAAATAACAAAAATCGTAAAGAATAATCCAGGGAAATTACATTTTTCGAAATTGTAAAACGACTAGATGACACAATTCACTGCAATATGCAATTTTCACAGTAAACTGTAAAAACGTCTTTTTTTTCCTTGTAAATTGTAAAAAGCCCTTTTTATTTTCCGTAAAACTGTACCAGCTATCCCCCTTGCCCCCCCCCCATTGTACTATTTGATACTGATTTTACAGTAGATTTTTATTTAGTATTCAATCAACAGTGTAAATGCAAATTTCCTGAATTTGGATAAAGAAAAACAATTTAAACATATCTTACAATCGAAAGATAAAGATACTAGTACTATTATAGCCCTCTATGTGTACTTGAGTAACAGTAAATGAACAAACAAAAGAATACACTCAGTCACACTTATTTAACTTTTTATTTACATAATTTTCGCCTACTTACTTTTTTAGTAATTTTTATTATTAACTTTATTACATTTTAAACACCAAATTAGAAATGTAAAATTTTCTACACGGTTGTAATAAAGCTGTTATCTATCTATCTTATCTATCTTATATAGTGGCTAGAAGTGTCCACAATCATAAGTAAAGGAATTCAAAACTCAAAAAATGGTCTTACAGTATTTGCTAACTGTTTATCTACTCTCCCCGTATAGCAACATATTTTTAAAACCCATTTGCAACTAGTACTATATAGACTGGAAAGATCAATAACTTGGATCAAATAGTTCATTGACCTAATCGAAATTCTGAATTACATTACATTTCATAAGAGCCATGTCCCTTCCATCAACACAAACTATTCAAACCAATCAGAATAAAGATGATGTAAGATCTGCTTTTTAAATTAAATTCAATTTATCGATAAAATAAAAATTACTGGTAACACTCATTTTATTTTACAGGTATTGGCACAATATTTAAGCACATAGATAACAAACAACTGCATCTGCAATGGCTGGGTCAATTAAATATCACGTTCTTAAATCAGAAGTGGATTTCACATATCCTGATGATGAACCAGACCTCGAAGATGAAGCCCAATTGCACTCAAAAGTCATTCATAGAACACCAATGAAAAAGATCATGATCACGGTTTTGTCTATTATGTTAATGATGTTATTTTTAGTAAGCTTGGGAGTTTTATCTTTAACATTCTGTAAGTGTAAGCATGAGAAACCAAAAATTATTGTTGTCTTCGTTGATGGTTTGCGTTGGGATTTGTACAATGTGTCTATGCCAGCACTGAAATCAGTTGCAGAGAATGGTGTCAGAGCTGAATCAATGGTGCCAACGTTTCCGAGTTTATCTTCTCCAAATATGTACAGTATTGCAACTGGACTGTTCAGTGAAAGCCATGGAGTCGTTACCAATCTTGTCTTTGATGTGAAATATAAAAATCAGTTACATTCTTTTGAAGAGGGGCTGACTGTTGACTACTGGTGGGACCAGCCTGGTGTGGAGCCCCTCTGGATTACTGCTCGTAGAGCTGGTTTCAAAACAGGCACAATTATGTATCCCGGAGGAAGTGTGTCCATAAAAGAAATGCGTCCAAATAAAAATATGTTTTATTCGTTTAATGCCACTATGAAAAATGGTGTGGATATAGCGATTGAATGGTTAATCGATGACCTTGATTTGGTATTCCTTTATAATACTTCGCTTGATGACACCTTGCATCAATATGGTGTGAATTCACCGCAAGCAGATGCTGTTGTCAAAGAAATGGATGACGGGTTAGGATATTTATTGCAGAAATTAGAAAACCATACATTAGCAAATTCAGTTAACGTTATTGTTGTTAGTGATCATGGATATCATAACATCACTGAAGTTGTCCCAATGTTTATCTTGAGGTTTATGGACCTATGACGCTACTTCAGCCAAAGGAAGAAAAAATGGATAATGTCTATGAGACATTAAAGAAAATAGAGCATTTTCATGTCTACAAAAAGGAGGAGATTCTGAAAGACTTGCACTATCGCAATAACGAGCGAATTCCATCAATGCTCGTACTTGATGACCTGGGAACAAGCTTGAATGTAGACTGGAATTCATCTTCACCTGTACGTTCCATGCATGGATGGAACTCGTCACACATGGAGAATCATTTAGTGTTCTATGCCAAAGGACCTGCATTTAAAGAAGGATTCCTGTCTAAATCATTTACAAATGTTGATGTCTATCCATTGATGTGTGAAATCCTTGGTGTTGTACCACAGCCGAATAACGGTACTCTGGACATTGTACAAATAAAATGACTATACTACCTATATTTGCTTCAATAGGATACAAGTATCAACACTACAGCTGTATATATATTCAGAGTGTAAACACTAGTTGTATTCATATCCAGAGTGTAAATGCTAGTATTCGTATGCAGAATTTAAATGCTAGTATTCGTATGCAAAGTGTAAACGCTATAGCTGTATTCATAAGCAGAGTAAACGCTACAGTAGAACTCGTATGCAGAGTGTAAACACTATTTGTATTCATATGCGGAGTCTAAACGCTACAGTTCACTTCTATTCATATGCAGAGTGTAAACGCTACAGTTCACTTCTATTCATATGCAGAGTGTAAACGCTACAGTTCACTTCTATTCATATGCAGAGTGTAAACGCCACAGTTCACTTCTATTCATATGCAGAATGTAAACGCTACAGTTCACTTCTATTCATATGCAGAGTGTAAACGCTACAGTTCACTTCTATTCATATGCAGAGTGTAAACGCTACAGTTCACTTCTATTCATATGCAGAGTGTAAACACTACAGTTCACTTCTATTCATATGCAGAGTGTAAACGCTACAGTTCACTTCTATTCATATGCAGAGTGTAAACGCTACAGTTCACTTCTATTCATATGCAGAGTGTAAACGTTACAGTTCACTTCTATTCATATGCAGAGTGTAAACGTTACAGTTCTATTCATATGCAGAGTGTAATGATTTTTATGTCTCAGTTTAAAATACTAAGAATAATACAATAATGCGTGGAATGAGTGTTTCCATAGCGATATCAAAATTGACGGAAATTGCCTATGTGCACAAACAGAAATAGGACCAAAACATTGCATTATGGGACTGATAGTAGCCAGTTCCTATAAGTAGTAACAACGAGCAGGTCAATAACTGCTGGCAGTGGAACAGGTTGTTAAACAAAATAAGCAATACTGGCTAAGAATAAACCCTGCATCATGACTGTAAATACTGTTGAAATCTGTACATATTAATCACCTAATTTGCATAATTAACCAATTTTAAGCTTTCACACTGATATCTAAAGTACTAATTGTTCCATTTCAATGTAACTTTGTACAAAGATGCTCTAGAACAATGTACAAATTTGATTAGTTTAGGGTTAAAATCTGGCTATATTAATTCCCTAATTAGCATAATAATTCATAATTTGTTTGTTCTGATCACATTTCAATGAAACTTAGTACATCAATGGTCTGTTACATTGCGCAGACCTTATTAGTTTTACACTCAAATCTGTTCACTTTAATTTTCTGATTTGCATAATTAGTTTTCAGCTTTTCCATCAATATCTCAAGTACAAGTAATTTTTACTGTGTCTCTAATACTCTCATCACACAGGAGTTCTTTCTAAGCTTTCTTTGATTTTTTAATTTGTTTTCAATATTTCTGGAAAGGTACCTAAATTTTGCCAATAGTTAATTTTCAGTTTTTAGTCAAAAAATTTGGTTATTTTTTAGCCAAACTTCGGAAGGAAATATAATACATACATGACTGTTTTGTGAATTTGTGATGAAAAAGGGGAACTGTTAATTTTTTAGGTTGAACTGCCATGTTTTTAATCCTCGAGTAGACTTGCATACAGTCTCTTGTTAATTGTGTAAATGGCAAAAACAGTTTACCGCAAAATAAACGATAGTTTTGCGGTAACCTGGTTTTCGCGATTTATACAGTCCCACATTTTATTTTATTGAAAAAAAAAAACATCAAAAAATAAACAAGAGACTGTATGCAAGTCAAACACTTGAGGTATTATGACACCTTGAGTATTGGACGTGGAATGAGAATACGTTTCGTTTTGACAATGGCCTGTTATGGGTTTCCAGTTTTGGGGAAAAATCATGCAGTTTTTAAGTCAAAGTCGGCTAAATATTAACAGATCACTTATTCACAATATTCGATCGGATATTCACTCAGTATTCGGGAATTCCCAGAGAACTGTGTCAGTAACACAGCCCATTGTGATTGGGTAATAACAGACTTGACCTATGCGGTCAAAGGGCCTTGTTGCAGTTCAAACCATCAGTGATGCAACGTTTGCGCACGGTTAGTGCGTTAGTTAGTAAGAGATTAGTAACTTTGGTTTGCGGGGAAGTTGTTTGGCATCCGGAATTTGCGTACGAAAGAAAACACTCAACAACGAAGATAGAGATGAAGACCTGAAGTTTGACCGTTTTCTCTCAGGCTCCAATAATTATTACATCATAAATTCAGATGGTAAGTAACTCATTTTAGCACACAATGCATAGCGATCCAGAGTTGTTGGGGAACCAGAATTGTTACAGTGGGAGTGTGTACAAATCCTCTGCAGTCTGAGGAGTCGCTGCGTTGGTTATGCTTTTTAGCTGGTTTAAATATCCATTTATATACGGGTATCTCTAGAGGCACTTTGCGAGTTTTCCTACGAGTCGCCGAAAGTCGAATGAAGGCATTCTGCGAGTCGTGTAGAGCCATTTGACGAGTTTTCCTGTATGTTAGTGCATGGAACTATAAACCCATCTGATAGAGGGACTGTGGTCTAGACCATGGACGATGTGTCACAGGATGGCCGCATGAATTTGCATAAAAACAAACCGCTCTATTCACACCCACCAAGCTGTTGTTTATTTTTAGGTTTAATTATCTTTCTCACAGTCCCTATATCCCCGGTCTGGGAAACGCTTCGCAGTCTATCGTCCCAGGGCTGGATGTAGGTAAATAACCCGTTCACACCTTGGACAATTAGTCACGAAGCTGAGCGTACACATGTATTAGTTGTCCGAGCTTAAACTTTACCCATAATCCTTTGCTTGAGAATCAAGATGGCTGCCGACTACATAATAATGATATAAAGTTGAATATCTAGAGAATGAAAAGTGATATAAAAAAAATTGTGGACCTTTTTCTTCAGGGGTCATTATGTTGCTTAGATCGATGTTTCCTTTAAGGTATAGATGCAGGTTTGTAGGCACTCAGAGTGAATTTTTGTTTTGCTTTTTCCTACCCAGGCACTCTTGGCTAGATAGTATTGAAATTTCGGAGTATTGTCAATGCTGGAACTTTTAAAATATAGGGAACCGAGGCACACAGCACGTGTATGTGATTAAAAGTCCCAAAGGTTGTTTACATTGCTCTTTGATTGACAAGTAACTGTTGATGTTTGAAAAAAAACATCGATCTTTCTAAAAGACATGACAAATAGAAGGGGCCAATTACCGGTCAAGTTTGTTAGAAGTGTTCCAAGTTGCAATCCCTGACAGAGTACCTCAAATTTAATAATGTCAATATGCAACTATAGAAATACTTCATATGAAAATTTGTGCTTACATCTCTTTCTAGGGGATTTGGATTATAACAACCCTTACCAAAATTCATTAGACAAAATGTATACTTTTTGTGCGCAAAAAGTATACAAATTCTGAATAAATTTGTACATTTTAAGTATAATTTTTGTATACAAGAAGTACCCTATATTTGGAACAGATTTGTATACAAAAAGTATGCAAATACTATGCAAATTGTGTACAAAAAATGTACTTTTGTATACAAGAAGTATCCCATATTTGGAACACTTTGTATACAAAAATTGTACAAAGCTCAATCATAAATAGGGCATTTATTTTACAAAATGAAATTCAACTTCATTGTGCATTTCATTTGCGCAAGTGTATGGTCTTATTTCACAACAGCATGTATTTATATTTACCTATACTTACATTTAGAATTCAATTTATCAATTGTTTATGCTTACCTGACTGACTATATAGTACATTCATTTACAACCTATGTTGTATCTGTTTGACATATATGTGAGCCAAGGATGTACAACAAACTGATTGTGGTGAGAGTAATACTGATTTATTTCATTGTATTTTCCTCAACTGAAAATGCCAAAACTAGATATATAATGGAAAATTAAATTTTAATTTAGTTAAATTGATCAAAAAAAAGTTCATAAAAATTGGCAATAAGTCACGTTAGGATCAAAAACAGGATAATTTTTAATATATGCAAATTAGGCAAACTCTAAACAACTCTCCTGGGAAATGTGTTATACACTCTTCTTAAAATGACTGAATTCTTTCAGTAAACTGTAGTAAAAATATAATTTTACTGATATCCAAAAATATAGTTTAGTATTCCTGTAATTAATCTATTAAAAATGTTTTTATACTCTCTTATGAATTTAATTGAGTATTAAATTCCCTATTTTTGTACAGTTTATGTATACATATATTGTATTATTGGGCGTAGTTAAGTTTATTCAGATTCTAAGTCCAATTTTTGTACATTCTATGTATACATAAATAATACTAATATTTGTCAAAATGCCAAGTCAATAATTTGTACAATTAATGTATACATAAATTATACTTCATTCTGACATGATTCTAACATAAATTTTTGTGGTTATACTCTTTATTTCCTAGTCATGATATTGTACATTTTATGTATATGTAAATTATACAATATTTAGGCATTGAATCCTATGCAAAAAATCTTACATTTCTAGTATACAACAAATATACATTAATGAATTTGTATAAAGTGTGTATACAAATAATGTACTGCTGTTTTCTTGTATGTATGAGATTTGTATACAAATAATGTACACAATTTCAAAAAAGTATACTTTTTGTACAGAATATGTAAACAATTAATATACTATTGGGGCAGACAATTTGGTAAGGGAGATCTAAATCCAACGTTAAGCCTATAAACGTTCCATTGTTTTTAGTGCCAAACCCCTTTGTTAAGTACAACAACAAATATTTCCTTGGTGTTTGTGAGCTCTTGTGTGATTGGTCAATGCAAGGACAGCTCTTCCACTTCTGTGTTTTACTCCCTATCAATTTGGGCCCTGTTTAACCATAGACAGTATAGTAGTACTGTGGAATACTTTATTTTCGCTGGAATTAATTTTGCTGAAAAGGCTTTTTTGGCGTTTTGTGTGGAATTTATTTTCACTGATTTTTGATGAGTTTAATGTAAAATATAGGAAAAAAACTATATTTGCTGGA